CACATATTGATGTGTACATGGGGCATGTGTACACGAACACATTCCTGCATTGTGCAGGTGGTGTAGCACGTGTCCGGGGTGTGGGGGAGAGGGAGGGGTTGCAACCTAGTTCGTCAGTTCCCGTTCTGTAGTGTTTGTCTTGTTCAGAGCAGTCCTGCTTAATTCGTAGCAATTATAGGTCAGATTGGTCGCGTTTCCACACCCTAAACACCAGCGCCCCACACCCCACAATATGTCCTCAACAACATATAACATCTCCATTATTTTACTACAACAACGTTTTAGTCCCACGACTCACAACCGCGACCCACCCCCGCGACCCACAACAACCAGGGCGTTAATGACTAAAAAAAAGTCGAGGTTTCCCCCGCCATCTCCTGTTCTCCACCCACAACAGACAGATGGAATTAAATATATGCGGCGGACGGAAACCGTTTTGGAGGGAAGGAGTGAGAGAGGGAGGAGGTGTGGGTGGGAGGGAGGGCAGGAGGTGTGGGTGGGCGGGACGGCAGGTGTGGGTGTGAGGGACGGCAGGTGTGGGTGGGAGGGAGGGAAGTAGGGATGCTGGAGTGAGAACTGGAATGGAAAGGTTTTGGGGGGTTCCAGAGGAAGGGGTGTGGGAGGGTAGGACAGTTGTGAATGGGAGAGGAAAGGCGCTATAGTACTCATGACAAATCCCCCCACCCACCCACCTACCCCTCTCTCTCTCTCTCTCTCTCTCTCTGTCTCTCTCTCTGTCTCTCTCTCTGTCTCTCTCTCTGTCTCTCTCTCTGTCTCTCTCTCTGTCTCTCTCTCTGTCTCTCTCTCTCTCCCTCTCTCGTTCCTTTACCTTAATTTTGCCTAAGCGACTGGCAACTCCAAATTTAAATAAATTAATATTTATTATTATTATTATTATTAATTAATATTAATATTGTCAACTTATAGACCTTGGTCAAGGAACTAAGATTAGGTTAGGATAAGTTTGGTTAGGTTAGGTTGGGTTTAGTTAGGTTACGTTAGATTACATTAACAGTACCAAAACACATTAATGTGTACTCAGTTCTTTAGTGTACTAACACACCTGAAGACAGGCTACTGTTTTAAAATATGGGTATATAATAATGTACAGTTATAACTTGAAAATAATCTCTATTTAGGTCAAATACTCACTTGCCAGCTGACCAGTTGACTATTAATGGAACTATTAATTACACTGACTATTAATTTAAGCCTAAATAAGGTTCAATAAGCCTAGATTCATAAGATTTAGCAGGGAGGACGGACATTCTTAATCGCTTGGCCCCCAGTTCATAAATGCCTGATCTAGATAGTAGTAAAATCCACCATATGTGTTAAGTTCTTTAATGAACTCATCTGAGGACACGTTGTGTTTTAAAACAAAGTTTTAGGCTAATGTATCTCTTCCTCCAGCAACCCATCTTAAGCCCTAACATTCCGTTCTCGTTCAGAGTTAACCTGTTTTCTCAACTAATTGGTCGCGTTTTGTACGTTAAGGTAACCAACTTTACAAATGTATCCTATTATGAAAAGTAACTTCTCACAAACATCTACGTTTTCTATGCACCGGAGTGATGGGTTAGGCAGGTTGCTTCACTGGAGCAACCCACTTAACCTATTAGCAGTTCATATAATAATAATAATAATAATAATAATAATAATAATAATAATAATAATAATAATTTTTATTTAGGTAAAGGTACATACATAAAGAGATTTTACAAAGTTTGTTGGCTTTATAGATAGAGCTAGTACATACAATGCCTAAAGCCACTATTACGCAAAGCGTTTCGGGCAGGAAAAAACACTAATGACTAAAGCTTTAATATAATTTAAGCAATTCATATAATATGAATTTTCAATATATAATGTTGAATTTTGTAACTAGCTCATCAAGATTGTAACTTGCTTAGCTAAATGAATTGTGGGGTTCAGTCCCTGAGCCCATTATGTGCCTCTGTAACCCTTTCCACTACCGCCCACAAGATGGGTATGGGGTACATAATAAATGAACTAAACTAACATATAATATGAATTAATATATATATATGAGCCCGTCCTCAGAGCAAATCCATTACCTCGAGAGACAAACCGCCCCGTCAAACCACCTAGATAGTTATTTAGATATTTGTGATGGCTGGGAACATATTACGGTTTCTGTAATAGTCTGCTTCTAAACTAGCAAGTAAATCTTTGCTAGTTTAGAGAGACTATTTTCAAATTATAACTTCATTGTATTATAATTGAGGACTGAGAATTATAATACTGTGGGACGATGCAGGAGATGCTTTTTCACCCACCGGATTAACTTGTAGAACAGCCTACCCGTCGAAGGCGTAACTGCTAAAACTGTGTTGAGTTTTAAAATAAACCTAAAACAGATCATCAAGGCAAATTAGGGGACTTTCGACTAGCCGCCGACTTCCTGTCCTCGTCGAAGCCATTAGGGTTAGTGGGCCTCAGGTAAATCAGCTATAAATTATTGCTTAAAATATAAAAGTTTGTACTGAAAACGTTTTCTTTTAAAGGGTCTAAAGAAATAGGTTTTCTGTGTACTAAATTCAAGGACACACCTAAATAGTTTTCAAATTCCTTATTTCACATTTTACTTGAGCGCCACTAACATTCTAGTGGACTATACGAGGACAAGAAGCCGGCGACTTGTTGAAGGTTCCTCAATTTGTCTCGATTTTTTCAGCTGGATTTTAAAGCTTAACAGTTTTGGCAATTATGTCTTCAACGAGTAGGCGGTTCCATAAGTTTATAACCCTGTGGATGAAAACCCATCTCCTGTTTTCAGTCTTACATTGTGGCATGTTGAGCTTGAAACTATTGCTCCTTGTTTGTGTTACATCTGACCCTTTGAAGAAATTTTCTGGATTAACATTCTCCAAGTTGTTTAATATTTTTAACTGTTTCAATGAGCCTCTGTAACCCTTTCCACTACCTCCCACAAGATGGGTATAGGGTGCATAATAAATAAATAAATAAGATTTAAATACATGTCTTTAATAATCGTGATTAAAAATAAGCACACATTTTAAAAGTAAACGAATATGCCTTAACTTAAACTAAACAAGGCTCTCATCTCTCTATATTATGCACTAATCTATCCCTATCTCAACTATGGTATCTGTGCATGGGGTTCAACCACTGCAAACCACCTCAAGTCCATCATCACCCAGCAAAAATCTGCTATCAGAATAATATCAAATTCTGCTTTCAGACAACACACAGCCCCCTTGTTTAACTCCCTAAACATGCTAAACATAATCTCACTCCACAAATTCTCTTGTGTCAACTACATTTACAAAACCCTGTTCTTAAATGCAAATCCTTGTCTGAAACTCTTCCTGGACAGATGTAATAGGACCCATTATCACCACACCAGAAATAAATATCTCTTTGATATCCCCAGAGTTAAACTTAATCTGTGTAAACACTCTATGCAAATAAAGGGACCCAGTTTATGGAACTCACTCCCCACTGAATTGAAAAGCTGTCCAACTTTTATATCATTCAAAATCAATACTAAAAAGTACCTAATTTCATCTTCATAGTTTTTCACTTTTTGCCTTAAAATTGCACTGTATCAATTGCTACCCAATCTCCCAACCTTTATGTTCCCAATTTGAACATCTTTACCATTGTGATCATTAAGCTGTTTTCTTATATGTGCTGCCAATCTGCTGTATGGTGTTTATAAATCTTGTTTATCTGTATCTTTTGCTACCCAGTCTCCCAATCTTTATGTACCCAATCTAAACATCTTTACCATTGTGATCATTGCTGTCTTATATGTGCTGTCAATCTGCTGTATGGTGTCTATTAATCTTGTTTAAATTACTAATCAAGCTGACAATGTAATCAATCAGAGCTTTAATATAACAATGTGATTTAATATACTTAGCTCTCTCATCTCATTTTTCTCTTGCAATGTATCTTTATCATTTATCAATTCTGATAGAAATTACCTACTTAAAATTATCTGCTAGATTAAGGACCTGCCCGAAACGCTGCGCGTACTAGTGGCTTTACAAGAATGTAAATACTGTACTATCCAATGTATTCTCACAAACCCAATGTACCTTCTTGTATATACATAAATAAATAAATAAATAAATAAATTAATTAATAAATTACTAACCATTACCTTGATTGACATTCAAAGACTGATCAACAGTATATAAATGTCATCAGAGGAGGAAGAACCGCTCCTGTGCCAGGTAAGTCCACTACAGGCTCACCATAACCTGTGCTACTTGCCCCGCTCTTGTGCCAGGTAAGTTACGGGCTCTCCATAGCCCGTGCTACTTGGAACTTGTTCTGGGTAGCTGAATCTATAACAAACAACGAAACCCGCCATGTTCATTGCACGTGTAGCAGAGAGAAATAAAACTTAGTTGAGATGATATGCATGACATGCATAATAGTCCCCGTGGTGTAGTGGTAACTCGCTCGCCTGGCGTTTCACAAGGCTTTGTCCTGGGTTCGTGTCCATCCTTAACTTGTAGCCTCTGTTTACCCAGCAATAAAATGGGTGCCTAAACGATTTGGCGGGTCGTATTCCGGGGAACATAGGATTAAGAACTTGCCCGAAACGCTATGCGTGCTGGTGGTTGTACGAGAATGTAAGAATTCTTGTATATATAAATAAATAAATAAATGAAACCACCTTGGCGTTAGTAATTCGAATATCCTAAAGACTGTGGCTTCGGCTTTGTCTTTTCACGAAAAAAAGATAATTAAACTATTAAAATATATATATATATTTATAAAATAAGTTCATAATTTCATCTGTAAGATGTTTTCGTATTAAAATATATATATATAGTTTTTGAAAAATGTTGTATATAGAAAATTGGCTATATTATAACTGCGACAAAGGAAGGCATTAGGACAGGGTCAACAACAGACTAGGGCTGGGTGGGGTTTTATGGTAACGCTGCTCAAAGTTTTTCAGGTGAAAATGAAGAATATCTTAGCTTCCCTCGTTGTTTCTTCGCTTCTCTCTGTGGGTAAGTATCCCTGTCACCTGCTGAGGGTCGCTGTGTTGCCAGAAGGTAGTGTTTTGTGCAGTAGAAGTTGCTTTGCTGTGGTGGCCTTGCTCTCTCACCTGTTTTTCCGTTCGTAAACAGGTAACTTCTAGCATGATTTACCCGAATTTACCTGAAGGGGGAAGGGGGGGCACACCAGCTCTAATGGTCTCGATAGAGTTGAATTTATTACAAATATAGTAAAAAAAGTAGGCTTATATCGGCTGTGTTAATATAGATATGAACTTTACGTTGGAGGTTCATTATATACAACTGACAGATATTTTCAGAAAACTTTAAATTCATGCATTTTGGGCAGCTTGTATGGCATCTGCTGTGGTACTCCTGGGCTCAAATGTTTCGTTTACCAGCGAGTTATTTACATAAAATGTAAAAATTGATGAAAAAGGAATAATTTGATTGCCTTGAATCTCATCCCAAACGTAACATGGCCTAACTTTACCTCAGTGCATTAAACCCAAAAATGTAATACAGACATTTGCTTAGTATTTTGCTTGGTATATCGATAAACTTTTTTTTATTTACGCACCTACATTTGTAGTTGAATATACTAAACTGGGTGTTAGGCCAAATCCTTATTTTTTATTTTGATGCATACAAATCCTCACTGATCAAACGTGCTAGCTGGAGCTCTCAGGCTGAAGTCTTCTGAAGTATTTTTTCCTATTTATGTAGGTGTGGGATGTTGCGTACATAGTGGGGTCTCGTATTGATATATGTATAATTAGTATTTTTTTTTTATATTTACAAGAGTTGTTACAGTCTTGTAAAGCCACTAGCGTGCAAAAGTATTAAAGACAAGCCCACTACCAGAAGAGCATATTCAACTAATAGCTTGTGGATCTCATAAGCAATAAATGACTATCAGTTATGCATGTGTTCTACACATGCAGCTGAAGATTTGTTTACAGTTTTTCAAACCAGCCACAGTGACAGAGCGTATGAATGAAGCCATCAGTTTGAAACAGAGCTCGGTTTTAAGACAGTTGTGTGGCAGAGGAACATAAATAAGACAAGGAACTTGGGTGAATTCAGGGGATATGAGATTGATGATTCTCTGTTGTGAAGCTTGGTGGAGATGATATTAATCTCTCGGGGATCAGCTCTAAATATGTAGTTGTTGTTTGATGCTCTAATCTCAGAAAATGTATGGATATGCTCTAACAGGTTTACTACTACTAAGTGGCTACTGGAGCTTTAAAATAAAGAGTCCTGAGGAAAGATTATAGACTCGCTCTCTCTCTCTCTCGCATTCATTCGTTCGTGTGTTCATTCTCTCACTCAGAAACCGAGAATGAGAGAGAGAGAGAGAGAGAGAACAAGAACGAGAACATAACTAAACTAATTGTGTAATTTCTCAGCTTCCAGTATCTGGTGCTATCGATGTGTTGGGTCCCACCCAGGATGTGGATTGTATGACTTTGACTGGCGCTACTATTGGAGCTATAGCTGCCCAGACCCTAATGACAAATGTGTAAAAGTCATAGAAAGGAAAGGAGGTAAGTTTCATCTGTTACAAAACTTGCTCTAAATCAGTTTCTCAACTGGGGTTCTGCTGAACCCTAAGGTTTCGTGAGGAGTGGCCCAATGTTTATGTTTTCTGTTTACAGATACGTATAGTGAAGTGAGTGTGTGTGTGTGATCAACAAATGTATATTTTTGAGAGTCGTCTAAACTCTGAGCATTGCATACATGACTTGGCTTCTAATCTTTGCAGTGGACGTCATGGTGACCCGTGACTGTCTGAGCTACCTGGAGGGTCACCGTCGAGATATCCCAGCTGACCGATATGAAGGGTGTCGTTCCTCTGCCAAAGATCCCATGATTGGACAGTACATTTTCCCTTCCATACCTGAGATTGACCATAGGAGGTGAGTGTTGTTGGGAGTCATTACAATTCCTTATGCAAGGTGAATAATTTACAATTTTCTTGTTCAGTCACAAGTTTAGATGTGAATGAAGAATTAGTGAATTACAAAGTGAAAGCAAGGTGATGCTTTAGTTTATCATCAAGAAATTGAGATGGAACAGCCAAGAATATATTAGGAGAGGAAAGGGGGGGGGGGAGTGGAGGAACAAAAAGTTAAATTCATTAACATGGTAGAGCAGGTCAGAAATAATTAATAAAGAGGAATAGGTTTTGCAGTAGTAGCTAACTTAATTGTTAGTAAATTTGGTAGTAAAATCCCATTTGAATAAAATAATGAATGGACATATTTTGATATGTATTTGATGTACAGTATATTTTTTTTTAAATATCTATAACTTTGTTTCACTACATTGTTAATCTCTTGGCTGACGCCTCCTCACCCAATTATGTGTGTGTATGTATGTGTAAACATCTTATCTTTTAGCATTTTAGTTATTCTTTTTTAAACATGGTCAGTGTATTAATACAGAAGTTTCTTTGCAGAGATCATTACACCAACGTCACCTTCTGCTTTTGTGACTTTGACGAGAGATGTAACAGTGCCTCAAGCTTGACGATCAGTGTTTTACTGCTGATTGGTTTGGCTTTCACACATTTCACTATTTTGGGATAGTACTCGTGCACAGTCGCAAGACAATGATGGTGACGAAGTGGTTTATACACCATGAATAGAGGAGTGGTGTGTGTGCATCTCGTGTATACAGTACTTCCAAACAGATAGGAGTTGGTAAGAACAGCCGAATTTTAAATCATGGTGTTAAATGAATAGTACTGATTATTCTTGTTAATTAGTAATGTATAATAATTATTACATTTTATAGTTGATCTTGATTTAATTGTGTATTTTTTTTTATATATACTGTACCAGATTTCAATATATACCAAGGTTTTGTATAAATGTTACAATTACCTTTTCAAATTAAAATCAATCTTTGCATATTTTTATGTATTTGGGGACCAGGGCAGTGAAAATGTCTGTCCATTTATTACCTTTGATTTGTCCATTGTTTTGATGGATAAATATATGCTGGATTTCAGTGTCCACAAAGTAGGTTTGTATATTTGTTACAATTAGCTTTTTAAATGAAACTCAAGCTTTGCATGTTTTTACTTGGGGACCGTGGCAGCGAAAGTATCCGTCCATTTATTGCCTTTTTATCCTTGGATTGTTTGATGGAAAAATATGTGCTGGATTTCAATATAAATAAAAAAGGGGTTTGTATATTTGTTACAATTACCTTTTTAAATGAAGATCAAGCTTTACATATTTTTACTTACTTGACGACAATGGCAGTGAAAATATCCGTCCATTTGTTGCCTTTTATCCGTCCATTGTTTGAGATAAGAAAGTGGCAGCTGTATTTTTTCTAATTCATGTCATTGGCTACTTTCTTCATTTGAAACTGGTGCCCTTGTCAATCCTCTCTGAAGAGGATTGACAACTAGCCGAATACGAAACATTACCTGAAGTCTTGTGCAAAGCTCAAAGTTTCTCTTGTGAAAATAAATATTGACCAGTGTTTGGTGTGTCTCGCCCTACAAGTTGCTTGCCATAATTTGCTGGAAAGAAACCGAGAGGAGAAGATTAATATAGTAGGTGGTAAGATAGTCAACACAATATTTGAGTAATATACTAAGAGAATCCAAAGGCATAATACTTAAAATATTAATTATTAACATAAAAACAATAATAATAGAAACTGCAGAAAGCCTGTTGACTTATATGAGGAATCTCCTCTTCCTATCCACTCAAACTCAGGCTACTAGTTGGAGGCTTAGAGCAATGTTTGTACCATGTATGTATTAAGATAACAAATGTCTTATGCATATTATTACAGTAAAGGTACTGTTAAGTTGCCAAGTTTACTTCAAATCTTTCAATAAAATGTGCATTATTATCATAAGCTGTAGTGAAGTGAAACATAGTATGATTTGTTTACTATATTTTGTACTTTATCATACTTTTGTGAATTGATCAAATATTGCCAAATACCATTTTACTAGTGACAAAGTTGTTTAATAAAAAAGGAGCCTGGGCCTGGACTCATTAAGCAGTTACACAAATACTGTACTTGTAAACTTGTTCATCTTTTCTGTCTTTGGAGGCTTTGTTTATGTTTATTAAACAGCTTATGAGCTCCGAAGCACTAGGAGGCTGTTGATAACAATAACAACATTGGCAAAATCTGTAGGAGCCGTGATGAGGGTTCAAACCCATGCGGTGGGTGTTCAGATGCACACCCCCTAGTCATCTAGGGCATGACTAATCATGTTAGTGTTATTACTCTGTGTAATAATTACATTGATTTAGACATTTCAATCTCATAAACTGTTAAGAAATGTAAACAAAGCTGCCAAAGATTGAGAACGTATATGTTTGTAAGTAGATGTGTAAATGCATGTTGAATCCTGGCCCTAGACAGTATTATCTTGAGCTCTTGTCCTATAAAGCACAATAGGTACAAAGCAAATAGGTATAAAACACAATAACATGGCTAAAAAAAATGTTGACCAAACTATACACTAGAAATTGAAGAGATGACAACGTTTCGGTCCATCCTGGACCATTATCTTGCTAAGAGGTCCAGGTGGACAATCGGCTTGATATTGGTCAGGATGGACCGAACACAGTCGTCGTTTTCAATTTGTAGTGTGTGGTTTTGTCAACATAGGTACAGGTATTGCATAGCTCTTTAGTAACGATGTGATTAAATAATAAGCAGCAGCATCAATAATAGTAAAATTTGATCATCCTTGAAAGTTGCACCAGTTACTAAATACCGTATAAAAAGTAATTTTGTGCAGCCATAACAGTATCAAATTCTTTATTAGGAATATTTTGTATCACCTTGGTATGACTGTATGGTATACAGTAATACAGACTGTGCTTTAAAAATTGACCTGTCTCGATATAACAAGTTCCTTAGGTGATACTGTGGTGTAGTGCGTAATGTATTCACAAATATAAGACAAGCTCAGTTTGTGTGCCAATTACTGTAATGCAGCTTGCACAGAATGGGGATCGTGTAATTAGTCTAGACTCTTGAGAAGAAAGTTACCGTAATAAACAACTAAGCATTGGGTATAAGGTGAATGGTTAAGTGAAGCCCATTCTGATAAATACCCGGTATTGGACATACATTAGTATAGAATCTCTCAACTCCTATGTAATATTTTTCAGGTTTATTATAATTCTATCTCTTAATCTTTGATTAATCTTTTAATACTTCAATCATCTGAGAATTAAAGTGTAAATGATTTCTACTTAGTGGCTTAAATTAATGGTCCATACAATATATTGCCACTGGGAGCCAAGTCAGCTGAATAAAGGTAATGTGGTACCACTTCAAAATGCAAATATTCAATGTTAAACCTATTTGATGATGATCAAAGAGCAGTGCTGCTTGTACAGCAAGCATACTCAGAAACTATTCTAATTGAATCTTAGTTTTGTGATGAAAGAAGTGCATTGAATGATCAAGTTATAATGACAAATGGTTTGATTAATCTAGGTTTCAAATGCAAATTTTGTATTCAATTTTTACTGCGTTCATTTGTATCTTGTAAAGTATTCTCATTTATTCACAAGGCAATATTATTTTATGGTTTGAGATTCATTTGTTTGATGATGCAGTTAGTATTTTTTAGATTAGACGACATGACTACATTATCCTGTGGTGTCTTTATTACTTGACCAAGAATTACTTAAGAATAATTTGACTATTTTGTAGAGGCCTTTAAGTAAAAGATAACATTTTATTGATTATTAAAGTTTGTGGTAAATGCATGTTTTCTCCACCACACTCTGTATATATACAGGCATTTATACCATATTCGCAGATGTCGTATCCAAATATTACACATTTTTACTTACTTGGGGACCACGGCAGTTAAAATATCCGTCCATTTGTTGCTTTTTATCCGTCCATTTTTTGAGATAAGACAGTGGTAGCTGTACTTTTTCTAATTTGTCATTGGCTAATTATTTTGTACTTAATATACACAGGCCATAGGCTTTACAGTGCAATACCCTAATCACAGAATTGTTATTTGCATTGTGTGAAAAACAACTGCTGGGCGTGCAAAGTTTCTTAAAAAACTCTCAGAGTCCATGGATTCCATTCCATTTCAGTACTGTAGCTCACTAGTAACACTTCTTTCTCCTCCTACAACCATGCCATTAGGGGTTAGTAAAAGCATTCAGAAAACCGAGTTATCATTTCCTCATCTTGTGTGGATATGGTATAAATGCCAAAACTAGTATATAGTTTTTACTTTGTAAATATTAATACTGTACAATCAACTAGATTTTTATGTGCCAGTGTTTTAACTACTATTCTTTGAATTTATTTAGGCCTTTGATTTTATGTGTTAAAATTGTTTCAGGGTTTGTAGAGAGTTATCATGGTTCTAGAGATTCTTTGTAAATTGAGTGATGAAATAGCATAATTCAGCTAAAATTATGGAATAAGTATTAACAAGTACCTACACAATGAAATTCATATCTAAAACTCAATATTTTTCTATCTTGTTAGAATAAATGTATTAAACATATTTTGGTTATTCTCATTTATATACCACACTGTAGCTGATTTTATTATAAAAATGGAAACCTTTTCCAAAGACCATTAATTATTCATATACATAATCTGTCCTGTGACTAATCATTATATAAATGTTATACTCTGTATTTATAGTAATCATGAAAGTTGGGTAACTAAAGTTCAAATACTAGGTAAGGGTTACTATATATACCTGGTTGATGGGGTTCTGGGAGTTCTTCTATTTCCCAAGCCCGGCCCGGGGCCAGACTTGACTTGTGAGAGTTTGGTCCACCAGGCTGTTGCTTGGAGCGGCCCGCAGGCCCACATACTCACCACAGCCCGGTTGGTCCGGCACTCCTTGAAGGAAACAATCTAGTTTCCTCTTGAAGATGTACTTGAAGTGAAGTTTCTTCTTGAAGATGTATATATCGGCTACACGTACAAGCTCAGCATCTTGGATTTTATACACTTATAGTTAACTCTATAGTACACCTTTTTTTTTTTTCTTCATCCTTTAGTTTTACATGTATATTTTATTGCTGAAATGATATAAATCCTTGTAACCTACAAATATTAGATGGACTTGTAAAGGCAGCCAAGATTTACATACCTTTATTAATTAACAAACCAAAATGTAAAGATAATTGGTATATAGTACAGTAATTGCTGCAAATGACTGTAGCCTTGATTAACACTTTATTTAGTAAAAAACTTGACTGGAAGCACATTCTATTTTATATTTTTCATAAGTAATAATGACTGGTTGAAGCACTGAGTGACAGTTATAAAAATAAGTTGGTAGAATGTTAGAAAACTGTACAAAATTGCTGAAAAGACAGAAAAGTTTCTTCCAAGACTGTCTGATATTTATGATACAACACTTAAACAAAACGTCAGCATTCAACTTGTATTTCCTAATAATTTTATATTCAATTTTACATCATTATAGAAATATTTGCATGTTTATTGGTCAATACAAGTATTATACATGTATGCATAATATTTTTTTAAATAATAACAGTTTGTAAAGTTAAAATATTGGTGCTGCCACACTGCTCTTTGCAAGGGTGTAACAATTTATTCCAGGAAAATATTAACATTACTGAACATACACAATGACATATTTTAGTGAATGAAGATGAATTTTTTTTTTTTGCATAAGCTGTAAATTTGGACTAGTGTATAGATATTTGAAGGAAATGAATAAATAGGGAAGCCATCCATTCATCAAGAAATTAAAATACAGTGGAAACTCGAGTGACGAGTGGCTCCAGTTACGAGCATTTCGAGTAACGAGCAAGCCACTTGCAGAAAATATGTCTTGACTGACGAGCTTTCGCTCGATTAACGAGCGTTCCCGCTGGTTCTCGGACACAGACGACAGTTTTGTTGTTAATTCGCAAGGCGAGTTTTCCACATGACGAGCTCGGTGCCGGAACGCATTAAACTCGTTAATCGAGGCGCCACTGTAGTTGTAATGAGAATGAATGCACAATGCTGAACACAGACATGACATTTATAACCTTTTTGTTGCAATCATATGTATGAATCCACATGCACCCTATATAGGAAGGGCAGATGCATCAAATTTCAATATAAGCATATCAACTTAATTTAAGCAAGTAACATCTCGATGCATTTAAGTAGACATGTACATTTTTGAAGACATAAAAACTAAAGCCTTTTAAATCCTTTATAGTAATATCTTAACACTGGCCCCAATTTATCTGATATCATTGCAATATTAAGTAGATGTCATGGTTCCACTCTATACATCTTAATATGACTACTGTATACCAAATTCTCAAAAATGAAAGCTTTTCCACAAATGATTTCTTAAAATATATTTGCACAATACTTCCTAACACCTTCAAAAAGTAAATCACAAAGATTAAAGCAGATTTATAACTAACATTTAAATAATATATAAATAAATGTATTACACACACTCCTTAACGGTACAAATAATGAACTCAAATACCACAAACAAGTTACTGTATCTATATTTTACATTTGAATACTTCTCCGAATAAAAAATATAATCTTATAACACGACAATTTCCCTACCTAATCTTCCTAGTCACAATGAGAAGGACCACTGGTTACCTGCTTTACCAGTGCAGTAGTGCTACATCAGCACATTCTACGTACAGTCCATTGCCTGAAACTTGTACAAGAACTTTAAGTAGAAAAACATTTGCACAATTATTGATTTGTACAAAGGCACATGCATACACTCATACACACACACACACACAGTGCTTCTATTAAATTCCCTATCATAATTAGAGTTTAGGATCACTGAAGTTTAATTCCTTAATTAACAAACCTATAGCCAACAGAATAATAATCATTATGAGCTGAGTTCGCATCAAAGTCAGCTGGGAAGGCAACTTACATTAGTTAGAAAGGGATGAGCCTTGAGGCACAGCATAGTGGAGTCATGTCCTCTAACACTATATATTAAGACACAAGTTTCTAAAGGAAGAGGCATGAGGCTCTTCCCAAATGAAAGTAAGCTGTAATTCAACTCAATCTTGAATTGGAAATTATCTGGTTGAATTCTCTGAAATTGACCACTAGAATTATTTACCAACAACAAAATCAATTACCTGAACACGGTTCTTCTGCATTACCTAATGAGTTTTGTTGTAATAGTTGCCAAAGAACTGCGAGATTGGTTGGTATTGGGCACATAACTTACAATCAATACCTTAATCTATAAAAAGCATGGTTCTACAGTAACCCTGGACAAATGGTCTTCAGTGTGGCAGTGATTATCCGACAGCTATATACATCTCATGTGACGGGGAAATTGATGCCTATAATAGTGCCTCATTTTGAGGCTCACACTTCCAGAAATTAAGAAACTTAAACAACATAATTCTAATGATTTAGTGGTAGTTATATTTTTACGTTCTTAACCAATTTGATGTCACAGGAGACAAATAGGCGACTTTAATAGTAGCCACCGCGCCCGCCTCGCCGACCACCGCCACCTCTGCCACCACGATGGAATTCCACAGTACCTACAAAAATGTGATCACTATTATACCAAATAAATTCAGAACAAATATTATATATAAACTATAATAAGATAAAATCCTTCAGTAGTAACTAGAGAGACAAATTTACAAATTATTCAGACCTGCTAAATACCATGAGAGCTGTTGAGAACAATGCAGCCCATCTTGCTGTATGACAATGAAATGGATTTGTAACAATGTCTTACAGAATAAGAGAAAATACTTACATAAAATTTAAAAAAATCAGTATGTACAGGAAAAGAACATTAATAAAAACATAAAATAGATTATTAGGAAGCAGAGATCAATTACATGTAGTCAAATTGTATAAACGTGAAGAGATATATACAGGAAGTTAACCAAACTACTGTTGGGGCCACCTTTTTATGGACCCTGGTCGGCTGCACCGGGGTCCTTTGTAAATCTGGCACGGGAAAAATCTCCACGGGGGCCCCCCTCTTTACTTGAGGCACTAAGCCTGTGCTTATTATGCTCAATGGTTAATCCAGGGGCTGACTTAAATGGATATTTACAAAGATGAAGCCCCCTGAAGAAGCCTCCTTCTGTACAAGTTAAAGCTTGGTAGAAATATTACCATGGTGAATATTAATTACAGTAACACTATTATTTAAACATGTTTATATTTATATAAAATATTCAGCTCATCCTCCTGTTAAAATAGAGGACCGATGTGGGCCATTGTACATATATTGACGTAGTGGACAATTAAAAAGTAGAATTTGGTACTACTGAATTTGGACAAACCAGTAAAGGGCTTTGTATTTATGTTGCTAATAAAATTAACCTACCCTAACCTAACCATCATAGGCCTAATACTTGGCATCTGAGGCCTAATATAGTACATGTGTGTGTATTATACCAAGCCTAGGAATATTTAAGTTTGGTTTTTAGCTTTAATATTTCTAGACTATAAAATAAAGGTAGTACCCAATTTTACTATCTAATTGTCCATTATGTCATTATATGTACGATGGTCCACAGTTACAAACACTACTATCGAAACAGGAGGATAGGTTGCAAATATTACTTGTAAATGCTAAAAAGAGTTTCCTTACCAGAAAATCCACTGTTGTAATCTGCACTGTCTTCATATCTACCATGAACAGCAGGCTGCAAATTGGCAATTTTTGTGTTAAGTTTGGTACTCGGGTATACTCAAGGTGTATTAATTTTATACTGGCCATTCACGTATACAGTGTACTTTAGTTTGAACTGAAAATCTTGTACAGTGCTGGACCCTATCCGTTGCATCTGAAGTCCATTACTTTTTACACTTTATGCCAAACAATATCAAGTTCTTTCTATCCAAGAAAGAGTTGGGCACTCTTAAGATGACACATTTTGCGATATTGACACAAGTTAATGAGGAATTTGTTTTTTCTTAACCCCGTTTGTTGTGGCACTTTTTGTTTCCCCCGTATTCCCATCTTAATTACCATGGTGCCAAGATGCTAATCTTTTATATTTGCACTTATTTTTTTATAACTATAATAAAAAAAATTTGCTCTTTAGCTATACTGTACCAATAATTGTTGTTTCTGCATGGTCAATAATACCATTATAAATGCAACCAATAGGCATATTTACAAAAAAAATCTCTATCTATATTAAACTTATAAAAAAAACAAGGAGTACTCTTTCCATATATATTATGAAAAACAAGATAGTAAAAATAGAGAAAGAATTTTGAATTTTACTCAAATATTAAATAACTTGTTATATCACTTTCTGTGTAAGTCCATTACGAAATGTGGAGCTGAAGAAATCTGAATTAAATGCAAGAAAAGATTCTCTATGAAACCATTGGAAATTATTCAGCATGATCCAGATGATTTATTACATGGTAAAGAGGATAAAAAATAGGTAATTGTATAGTTTATGACGATAAATCTTTAAACTTTATTTTATGCTATTTCTTCACAAAATTCAAATCTTAGTCAAACATAACAAAATATGTTGCACTGTAATAATGAAACCAGACATAACATACCTGATTATATTGTCCAGACAAAGCTAAGCCCCGCTGGAACTCTCGAATCATTTCCAACTCCTTTGTTGAGTGTTCAGACGAGACTCGCAGACTGCCACCACCTCTGTTTGCATTCCAGTTTCCACTTCTTCCCGCCGTTTCATCTCTGCTTCGGCTCACTTGATTTTGGTCATAATTGTTTTGACACCCTTGTCTACTCCCATAAGGATCATATCTAATGTCATACTGCATATTGTAACCTCTATTATAGCCCCCACTATTAGTATCCATATAGTTGCCTCCATCACCTCGGTAATCAATATAATTTCCTACATCACTCTTGTGACCAGCCATATTTCCTTCCACAAACCTGTAATTGTTGCTATTATTGCCATCACCCCTACTGTTACTGTTACCCCCATCCCCTCTATAACCACTTACATTGCTGCCCCTGCCACCTCTGTAGCCACCGCTATAACTTCCATCATTTCGGTAATTATTACCAGAACCCTCTCCACCTGCATAGCTACCACCCTGTCCATAACTAGTAACTCCTCCCCTATAGTTGCCACCACCTCGGCCTCCTCTCTTACCACCTCGATCACCCCGACCATTCCAGTTCTGAGAATTGCCCCCTCCATTATAATCTCGTCTGCCACTATTGTCTCTACTCCCCGTGTCCCTGAGATGACCTCCCTGTGCTCTCTGTGCTCTGTCATCTCGCCCATAGCCTTGATGCCCACTGTAACTATTGCTGTACGAATTGGATGGATTTTCTCTTCCTGTAGCAGTAACGGTCTGAGGTGGTGGCCTTCTCATCATATTTTCTTGTTGTTCTTTTTCTTCCATTAACTCTTTGCTCTCAAAATATGTTCTGTTACTTGTGCCTTGTAATTTATCTTCCCCTGGAGCTGGCCAATTCTCAGTGGTAAGGTTTGGAGGTGTAACACTGAAAATAAAACAACAGAAAATACCTCACTATTATTCTCACTGTCCCATTATTCTTCCAAGATGAAGGCGGTGAGTCACAACAACGTGGCAGAAGATATAATGACCAAACCACACATCAGAAAATGAAGAAATGACGACGTTTTGGTTCGTCCTGGACAGTCATCAAGTCGTGTTGACTTGATAATGGTTTAGAATAGACTGAAATGTCGTTATTTCTCCAATATCTGACGTGTGGTTTGGTCATCATTATTCTTCAATTTAATAGTTGCTGCAAATATTGTTTCTGTTCACTTAGAATATTGTAAAATACTCTACACAAACTATGCAGAGACAGATAACAAGTATATATATGCACACTCAGTGAAACTGCAACTTTAACCAAGTGTTAATTTACCTTCCGTTAACTTCTCTACTCCAGCTGCCTCCTCGACCACCACGGCCTCCCCTGCCTCCCCGAGCACCTCTACCCCCTCGGCCACCTCCTCCACGACCACCCTGATATGCTGGCCCCCGCACATCTGCCACTGGTTCAACAAAGTTTATAGTCTCTGCAAAGAAATGATATGACATTTATGGAAATGAGCAAAGCCACTTTAATTATATACAGTATCATAAAGCCGGCTCTCAGGAATTAAGCACCAAAATTTGCTAAACACAAGGCATGGTACACTTCGTGCAAGTTAGCACAGGCTTCTCCTGTATTTCACACATCTTTGAAATAACATTTTTGAATTATGATAACTTTAACATTATACAAAAGTCTCCTTGCACACTATTTTATTTCACTAATACTGTACATTTAGGTACATATGCTTTTGTGCAGATGACTTTGGAAGGTCTCTCAAACATGGGTATATATTTGCCATACAGTATAACCTTCAGTTTGTTTCGTGCAATTGTACTCATGCCCCAAATTTCTGCAAGATGTGCCAGATCCCGAGGGGTAGCCCAGTCTCCAAAAGAGGTGTTAACTTTTTATCTGACACATTTTTTCAATCATATCTGTCCACTGAATAATCACAAAATTGCAGCACTATGCCTCTAGCATAAATGCCACCAAATCAACCACCATCTGTAACCTCTCGCACCTTCCAGACGTCTTTCTTGGAGCTAAGGCATGCCCCCCCCAAGTAAGTAAGTAAGTAAGTAATTATCAAAAGAAGGCACCAAACCGGGAAGGCTATGTAGCACCATCAAATACGCAAAATAATCAGAGGGCGCTAAATATCACCAAGGATGCCAATACGAGAACAAAAACGCATAAGGCGAACGATATCAAAAGTATCCGAGTCACCAAGAATTCTATCGAGGGACAGGTGACCGCGAGGGGCGGTCGGAAAGCAAGACACACGCTCGTCCTGGAAGTCAGGACATTCAAGAAGGACATGCACGACCGTAAGAGGGACAATGCAACTAGGACAATAAGGAGCAGGGCGGCGCTCCATCAAGTGACCATGGGTTAAGCGAGTATGGCCAATACGCAACCTCGCCAGAGCTGTTTCCCACCGCCGGTTACGGTGGAAGGAGGACGGCCACGAGGAAACACAACATTTAAGAGTACGTAGCTTGTTACCAGTAACAGACAACCAAGAAGCCTGCCAACGGGTAAGAACTGAGGAATGGATAACTGGGTAAAAGTCGGAATACGGAATGCCTTTACGAGAGATGGGACAAGAGCGGACAGCTTCCTTAGCGGCAGCATCCGCATGCTCATTTAAAGACACACCAATATGGCTGGGAACCCAACAAAACTCAACCGACTTAAATTTACTGTGAACGAGAAACAGCCAATGCTGGATCTCGACAACTACTGGATGAACCGGATTAAAGGACCCGAGAGCCATGAGGGCACTACGAGAGTCAACAACAACCACAAAGGAGGACTGACAACGAGAAAGCAGGAGACGAAGAGCATAGAGAATAGCATAAAGTTCTGCTGTAAAGATGCTAGTCTCCGGAGGCAAGCGACACATATAAGTGCGATCAGGAAAAACAACAGAGTAGCCAACACCGTCCGCTGACTTAGACCCATCGGTGAAGACAGAAACGGAGCGGGAGTGAGAAGAAAAGTGCTCGAGGAAAAGGCGTTTTAGAACCGTAGGAGGGGTAAAAGCTTTAGTGATACGGGTCAAGGAAGTACAAAACCGCGGAAGAGGGACCCTCCACGGGGGCAAAGAAGGAACAACACGAGGAGAAACATCAGAAATATGAACGGAGAGAGAATCCTGTAGGCGAGATAACCGGACAGAAAGAGGGAGGTGGTGAAGAGGAACAGGAACCGCAGGAGGGGTAAAAGTTAAAGCACGACAGAGGCGAGAGGAAGGATGTTGCAAGGACCGCGCAAGATAGCGAAGACAGTAGCGATCACGGCGGTCCTGGAGAGACAGGAAGCCAGTGTCAACATACAAGCTAAGGATGGGAGTCGAACGAAAGGCACCAGAACTGAGGCGCAACCCAGTATGGTGCAAAGCATCAAGACGGCGAAGAGTAGATGGAGAAGCAGACGAGTAAGCAGGGCAACCATAATCGAGCTTAGACAGGACGAGAGAGGAATGTAAAGCAAGGAGAGTGCGCCTATCTGCCCCCCAAGAAGTATGGGACAAGACCCGAAGGAGGGTAAGGGCCTTAGAGCACTCAACACGGAGGTGAGAGATATGGGGAGACCAAGACAAACGAGTGTCAAGGAATAACCCCAAAAGCTTCGCGGAATCTTTGTATTCAAGGGGATGACCATAAAGCGACAAAGAGGGACGAAGAACAACCCGTTTCCGCGTAAAAGTCATGGCACAAGTCTTAGAAGTAGAGAACTTGAAGCCATGACCTGTGGCCCAAGACGACACGGCATCAATTGCAAGTTGAAGCCGGCGTTGAAGGAGAGGCGAATCATCACCCTGACAACAAAGGGTAAGATCATCGACATAGAGAGCGGAGAAGACACCAGAAGGAAGAGAGGAAAGAAGACCATTGAGGGCAACAAGAAAAAGAGTAGTGCTCAGAACACTACCCTGGGGCACACCTTCGTATTACTGAAAAGAGGGAGAGAGAGCGGTACCAAGGCGCACCCGAAAGGAACGACGAGAGAGGAAGCTGCGGAGAAAGAGAGGGAGATGACCACGAAGGCCAAAAGAATGAAGTTGAGAGAGGATATGATAACGCCAAGTGGTGTCGTAAGCCTTTTCTAGGTCAAAAAGGACGGCAACAACGGAGGTCTTCGCAGCAAAAGCAGTACGAATATAGACCTCCAAGTTCACCAGGACATCTGTCGTGCTGCGGCACTTGCGGAAACCAAATTGAGAAGGGGAGAGGAGGTGATGGTGTTCCAGGAACCACATCAGACGAACGTTAACCATACGTTCAAAGAGTTTGCAGACACAACTTGTGAGAGCAATAGGGCGAAAGTCCTTAGGGGAAGTACCCAGAGACCCCGGTTTGCGAACAGGGAGGACAACGGCATCGAGCCAGTCCTCAGGGACTGACGACGACTCCCAGATCCGATTATACAGACTCAGTAAATACTGAGACGTGCCCGGAGGGAGATGGCGAAGCATCTCATAATGAATACCATCGGAGCCCGCCGCCGTAGAACCGCAGAGGGCCAGGGCAGAACGAAGTTCAGAGAGAGAGAAGGGATCATTATAGGGAAGCTGAAGATGAGTGCAGAAATCTAAAGGACGAGACTCAAGGACAGGTTTACGAAGAAGGAAAGATTGGGGAAGATGAAGACCAGAGCTAACAGAAGAAAAATGGGAACCCAGTTCGGAAGCGACCTGCAACGGGTCCGCCACAAGAGTATCATGGAGGTGAAGGACCAGTGAAACATCGGGAACGAACTTACCCGCTATCTTGCGGATACGCTTCCAGATCTGGGCCAGAGGGGTCTCGGACGTAATTGATGAGACATAAGATGCCCAACATTCACGTTTAGCCGTACGGATGGCCCTACGGGCCACCGCACTCGCTTTCCGAAAGAAAAGAAAAGAATCGGTCGTCTGCCTATGGCGGTGCCTCTTCCAAGCTGCACGCTTACAGCGGACAGCCCGAGCACAGTCCGCATTCCACCAGGGAATGCACTTCCGTGGACCCCGAGAGGAAGAGCGAGGAATAGAGCGGAGGGCAGCGTTGAAGACAGTGTCATGAAAAAGGAGGAGAGCGCGAGAGAGAGGCAGAAGGGAGAGGTCAGGGAGAGCAGCACTGAGGGTAAATAGGGTCCAGTCTGCCTTAGCAAACTGCCACCTAGGGAAAGAGAGGGAAGGGCGAAAAGAGAAAAAGGAAACAAGGATGGGGAAATGATCACTTCCATGGAGGTCATCAAGAACCTGCCACGTGAAATCTAAGTAAAGAGAAGAAGAGCAGAGAGAAAGATCAAGACAAGAAAGGGTGCGAGTCCGAGAGTCCAAATGAGTGGGCTCACCAGAATTCAGAAGAGACAGGGAAGAAGAGAGGAGAAACGGCTCAAGGAGGCGACCCCGGGTATTCGTCAGAACGTCACCCCAAAGAGAATGACGACAATTGAAGTCACCCAGCAGGAGCACAGGCTCCGGCAAGGAGTCCAGGAGGTGTTTCAAATCAGGAAGAGAGAGCGGGACACTCGGGGGGAGATAAATGGAACAAACTGTGTACCATTTCCCCACAAAGATACGAGCAGCAGAACAATGGAGAGGCGAAGGAAAAAGTAAAGGAACAAAGGGAACATCAGCCCGAATCAAAAGAGCAGAAGAATTAGAAGCCCCAGCAATGGCTGGGGGGGGGGAGAGAAAGGAATAGCCACGAAAACGACCAGGACGAGCACCAAGCATTGGCTCCTGGAGACAGACACAAAGGGGCGAAAACCGCGAAATCAGAAGTTGGAGTTCGAGGAAATTGGCGTAATAACCTCGAACGTTCCATTGAAGAATGGACAACGACGAGAAGAGAAAGGACAAAAACAGAGAACAAGGAAGAAACAAAGGCGAAAGACCAACAGAGCACGTTAAAGAATATCAGGGTCGGGATCAGGGTCAGCAAAGTCAGGGTTAGGGGGCATGGGTAAACTGAGCAAAGACGGAGGGAAGGAAACGGGAGAACAGAGCAGAGGTGGGCGGGCAGGGTCTGGAGGAGGAGGAGGAGGAGGAGGAAGAGGAGGAGACAACGGAGAGGAGCCGTCAAGGACAGCAGCAGGAGGAGGGGGAGTAGAAAGAGGGGAGCGCACCCCAGCAAGAGCAGCAACCGAAAGGGAAGCAGGGGCCAAAGAAACCTCCATAGCAGGAACAGGGGGCGCAAGCACTGAAACGGGAGGGGAAGGAGCAACAGAGCCAGAAGGAGGAGCTGAGGAAGAAAGCGAAGCCTTCTTACCCGCCGGGGAAGAGGAAGGAGAGGAGCCAGGCTTACGCTTCTGACTTAAAGAGACCGGTGTCCCAGCAACTACGTACCGGGCAACGGATTCCAGTGTCTCAACAGGAGAAGCCGAACGAGAGCACACACGACGGCCGTTAGGAGAGCGATGGACATCCGCCCGCACCGAGAGGCGGTGGGGAGAGCCAATAGATGGAGGAAGAGGATGGGAAGGAGGATCGGAGGGGGACGAGGAAGAAGACACAGAAGACACGACAGACCGGGTAGAAGGAAGGGGAACCCCAGACAGAGGACCAGGAGGAGGATTCTTCGGGAGAGAACCCAAAGGAACAGAGGAGGGGGCAGTGGGCGCATCAGGGTCCAAGGCCCGGAAACGGTTGTGAGTCTGAGGAAGGCGGGAAGGACGAGGAGAGGAAGAGCGCAACACGCGAGCATAAGAGATATTAGCATAAGGCGGGAGCCAGCGAACCTGGCGCCTCGCCTCAGGAAAAGATAAACGCTCCCGGTGCTTCAGGTTGAGGACGGCTGCCTCAAGCTTGTAATGGACACACGCACGGGAGAAGGTAGGATGGGCCTCACCGCAGTTGAGGCAACGAGCCTGGGGAGAAGTGCACTCCGACTTAGAGTGACCTTCGCCACCACACAAAGGACAGAGAGAGACAGTCCCGGAGCAGCGGAGGGCACCATGCCCAAACCTCCAGCACTTGTTGCAGAGCCGAGGAGAAGGAATGTACTCCTGGACAGAGCACCTGGCACCAGCAAGAATGACAGAGGGTGGAAGGGTCCTACCATCAAAGGTAATCTTCACAACCCGGAGGGGTTGACGGCGACTACCACGAGGGGGACGAGTAAACGTGTCCACCTGGAGAATAGAATGGCCCTGGGCAGCGAGGATATGGCGAATATCGTCGTGGCAGTCGCGCAGGTCCCGAACACCGGTTGCAACATGGGGCGGGAGCAAAATAGTGCCAACACTGGCATTCAATTGAGCGTTCTTCGAGACCCGAACGGGGGTCTCGCCAAGGCAGGATAAGGCAGCCAAGCGGGAAGCAGCATCCTGAGAAGGAGCAGCAACGACACGTGTACCGAGACGAGTGGGGTTGAAAGTAATGGAGGCATCCACGGAATCAATGAGATGTCGATGAAGGGAGAAATCGTCAGGAGGCGCAGAATCAAGAGGGAGGAGATCAAAATATTTGGCCCACGAAGCGGGACCAAACAAGGCTTGATAGGTAGCAGAACTGGAAGGAATCGAGCGAGGGCGGCCGTGACGAGAACGGCGGTGAGAACCCCCAGAGAGAGAGGGGTTAAAAGGCGCAGTAGTTACAACTAGAGAAGGAGCCGCGCCAGGGGACGAGGTAGTCACCACTGGGGGCTTGGGGCTCGACCCAACCACAGAGGAGGGAGGGGAGCCAGGGGAAGGAGTCAGAGAGGCCAAAGGAGGAGCAAGGTCGGGGCCCAATGCAGCGGAGGCTACAGAGCCCGGTCTTCCAATACGGACCGACTCGGGGGCTTGGTCGCCCACCCCACGAGCCTGAAAAGGTAAGCCAGAAGCAGCCGAAACAGGGGTTATCATCTTCACGAAATTAAGAATTCACTCACGAATGAGCCCCCACACCCACCATGGAGCCACAATTAGAGGCAGGACACCCAACAAGAAGCTATCGCCGATCTTGTCGGGGCCTCCTAGGGGTGCGTCGTGAGTATACGCCCCACAAACGCCACCTTAAGAAACCGACAGTCCGTCGAGATCGGGTTCAGTGACGAAGTGGGGATTGACAATAAAAGGGTCCCCTCGCTCTCGACGTCGGGTACTGCAGTTCTACGGGTGCATGAGTATGCCTCCTCAAGCACCCGGGCGTCAAAATAGAAGAAGTCCATGGAAGAACCAGAACGAGCAAAAGGTCGGCAGGAAACGGCAAGCAGATAGGAGAAGAGGGGGGAGAAAAACGAAACAGAAGGAAAAGGAAAAGGTGCCCAGCAGAATTGGAGAGGACGGCAGCAGGAGCACAAGGCCAGAAAAGGACAGAGGACTGTCCTAAGGAGCATCACACTCCAGCAGCCGCCCACGAAGCCCCCACACGGCGACAACGAGCTGAGCGGGGAGGGGGATGCCCCCCCAAGCCCCCCCTCCCCCGACCCTCAAACTAATACGTTTACCCTCATTTATACAATATGTAAGAGTTTTTCTGTTATTAATAACCTGACCTACACATATGTAGTGGAATGAAAGTGATGACATGTTTGGGTTGGGTTATTTGTTTTCAGCCATGTTATTGAGACTGATTCACTGTAAAAAAAAGTATATTTTTCTTAATATGTCACAGGCAATGACTTTTTACTAAACCTTTAATACCTTTCTTTTCAATCATCTTAGTATCAAAAAAGTCAAAGAGGGAGGCTGGTCCTGAAGGCCGAGGCATACTAGGTGGAGGCTCAAAGTCATCATCGCTGTCATCAGGTCCTCCTCCGCCTCTCCCTCTCCCTCGACCTCTACCCCGTCCTCGCCCACCACGACCTCGACGTCCACTGTAACCATCATCATCATCTTGACTGTAATTATTTCGTTCAGAGGGAGGTGGTTGACCGCTAGCTGCCTGTGAAGAAAGAAGGACTTTACAAACTTTAATATACTTTATGCCTACTTATTACATTTTAGTGAACAAAGACTAATATTTTAATAAGGATGAGCTTGTGAAATTTTATATATTTGGTGAAGTGTGTGTTGATGACAGAATTCATAAAGAGATTACCATGAGATTCCTAATGATGCCCATGCTCCAGTAAGAGGCCTCGACTCTTACTTATAATCGGTCAATATATTGACCTTATAATTGGTCAATAATCATCAAGCGTATTAAAACAGGCAGAACAAATGAGATAATCAAAACTATATGTTTCCTTAACAATTTGACAGCAGAATTGAGCGAAAGAAGATTAGATCTAAATCCTTTCTATCCTAAACCACAAAATGGAATAAAAATATGTCCATTTTTTTATGGTTACTACAGCACTTCAAACATGACCAATAAACCTTAACTAATAATGGAAATATATTTCTTTGCATGATAAAAGTCCAGATAGATATCAGATAACTTTGGACTATAAGATACAGCAGATAACTATAACGACTCTTTATTTGTAGGCTTAGAGATTCACTTCTCCATCAAGCAACTTATATTCAATATGTGAAGGATTTTTACTAATCCATCACATATTGAACTAGTTAATCAATTCTATAAAAAATGTGACGTATTAGGTGCCACACACACACACACACACACACACACACACACACACACACACACACACACACACACACACACACACACACACACACACACACACACACACTGGTAAAGTTACAGCTTACAATACTCAGGGCACATGAAACAAACACATAGACCCTTAACTGATGAATTGGAAACCCTTGATTGAGATGGTATAGGCTCACAAAGCTAACTAAGTCAGTATTGTGAACCTGTGGTACTTTTTTCTTGGAACTGGTAAGGATATGCCAGAAAACAATCAGATACACAAACACCTGTAAACAATACATTCACTAAGCCTGCGTTCTTGCAACTTAAGGTCATGACTCACTACAAGGTTGTGAGAGACTGCTGAATGGATCACTGCTAGGGTGGGTGAAAGGAAACAGAACATAATGTCATTCTTCATACATAAAATTGTTAGTTTAATAATAATAGTATAAATGCTAATAATTATAATTTTATTGCAAATTAAAAATACAGAACTGTTCATCTATTATCTTTTTACCTTGTTTTTCTGTCAATTCTATTTTTCCCACACATCTTTAACAAAATACTGCATAGATTGTTTAAATGTAAGATGTCTGGGAAGGCATCTCTACATAAAACTGGGCATTGACTGCACTTGCATCTGGGTACAAACAAACTAGGAGTTAATACTTACAGCTTTAAGCTCCCTGATAGCCTTAACTGGATCGTTTTTGCTATTTCGGAGGGCCCATTCAGCAACCTCTTGGTTAAACCCAGCATTAACAACTTTCTGGACATTAGCATCCAACATCTGCTTGCCTCCTCCAAACACCTGAAATACATTTTAAACATTATTTTATTTTTACACAAGAGTTAACACAAGTTCTTATGAACAAATATATGTACAGTAACAAGGTGAAAAACTCATTAGAAAATGCTCTACTCAAGGCATGTAAAGAAATAGTTATTTGGCTTTAGTTATCACATTTGAATTTACCCGAGGGCCACCATATCTTAGTGGTCACAATGGAGACAGGAAGCCAGTAACTTGTCAAACATTCCCATATATCCTCTGCTCCACACTACAATAAACCTTTATACTATACAGTGAAATATTTGATAAAGTTTACAGTACCTATCTCTGTCACATGAATCCCCTGCATAGCAGTGGAACTGCCTTTTCCACTAACCCTCAATACCTCTGTTCTGGAAGTTCACCTCTACACCAGCTAAGATGAGTCATCAGTCCTGCCACCTCTCCACCACTCCACATCCTCCAGGCCTGGCACGGCCTGGTACGACTCAGAGGCAAGTCGGACACCTCAGCTAACCGGTAGTTAGCCTTCGCAAACAAGCAGTTAGCTGCCTTCAACTAGCAGTAGTACAGCCTCAACACAAAGGCACCGCCAGCCACAAACTAGCAGTTTGCTATCACCGCTTGCGTTGACACCGGCTATGAGTCATCACTGTCAGACTATATAAAGGGCACTGCCTCCCTAGGGAGTCAGTCCCTCTCTTAGTGCTCTTGGATCACCTTAGCCTCCAGCAATGTCGTCTGCGGCCAGCTTACGTCATGTGCCGGATGCTGTAGTGGAATAGTGTTTTCCACGCCACCAGTATTTACTCATTTAGTCTTGTCATTGTATTTCTTGCACAGTTTATTCTTGTTACAATTTTCATATTATTTTATTCACCTTTGCATTATATGATCGCCAAGTGTTCTCAGGTGACATTTTTGTTCATTAATATTTCAGTAAATTGTTTTAATTATTTATTTGATGATTTTCCTTTGTTTCTACCCACAACTTACACACTGCAAGAGCAAAAGCAGCATTTTTTTTATATATGTGACAGAGCCATACCACCTTGGTTCAGTATACTAGCTGCAATACCACAACCCGTCACATATGGTATAGTCCACACTGCATTATGCCCCAAACTTGTATATTTACATCTATTAAATCTTAAACTGCTAAGCTATGTAGAAGGTCTACATCCAGATGCTCTTGAAAACACATAAGGATCAACTGCATATGTCAGTTGGAGTACAGAAGGGAGGGACTTATAAGGGAAAAGGACCAAGCCATTATGACTATATAGCACTGGGAAGGGGTCAGGATAAGGATTTGGGATGGGATGGGGGCAAAGGAATGGTGTCCAGCCACTTGGATGGTTGGGGGATTGAACGCCAACCTGCATGAAACGAAATTTCACTTCATGCAGCAAGAAATTTAGATAGTGATGAGAGCAGTTTAGGGGTTAAAAAAAAAGATACACAAAATAAAAGGGCAGAGACATAAGACACTCAACTGATGAGGATGTCCAATATAAAACCCTACAGAAAACTATGTGGGTGACATTTTAATGTTAATTCTGTAATGTTACCTTTATATTTCCTTCTTTGGCCAACTCTTTAACAGTTTGCTTCCGCTGAGCCTCAAATTCATCATCCTGCTTGTCTTTACTATTGGGATCCTTCAGGGCCTTGAATTTCTGCATCTCATGGGGGTCCTTTAAAATGCGTTTGCCAAATGGTACCCAAAGAGGAGGACCAGAACCATCAGCAGCACGAACTCCCCGGCTAAATTTTGAAACACTCTGAAAAATTAAGCAAATAGTCAACATTATACTAAATCGGTTTGAAACTGATTACAGTATTTCTATTTTTGTATTGGCTTATGAAAAGGTTCATTGCGAGTAAGATATTCTGGCATACTGAAAGATATAGTGATCTGCTATACATTATTGAATTAACCAACAGTCAGGTAAAAACAATATATATCCAGCAATTCTGTCACAGGGCCTAAAGTGCCCCTGAAAACCACATAAAGTAATTGAAAATCACTGAACAATGATCAATCCTGACAGGATAACAGATATTCAAAAGTTTGTTTTCAAGGCAAAAGTAACAAACACCCAGACACATTATACAAGTGGTCATCAATGGTAACACCTTAGCAGCATTACAACAAATCATTCTGGATTCCATGGGATATCACTACCAACAAATGAGCAGCACTATTCATGTCAGATATACCCATCGGCAATCTTGACATTTTGGACTAGTGTACAGTTTTCTCCAATACCTTTCTAGCATCCTTAATGACCCAGCAGGTAAGTTTTGAAAAAGATACCATACAACAAGAATGAAGTACTGTACAACAGTGCATTGCATTAATCAATGAAAATAATAACCCACTATTTTGAAAACACGAGGAAACGGAGACTGTATACTGTATTTTGATCCCAACCTGGGAGCCTGTTCAGCAGTGAGTGGAGGAAATCACTCGTTGCTGAAGAGGATCCGAGGTAGGGATCGAAATATGCAGCCTACGTTTCCTCATGTTTTCAAAATAGTGGGCTATTATTTCCATACTGTGAGACCCTTAACAAAAATTATGTCTTGAATGTAATGAAACATCCTTTTCTGGTGGGGCCCTCAGTAGCTTCCTGACCTAAGTATTGGTACAGCCAAGTCTTGCGGAGATAAGCCAGGGCTCTGAGATTAACCCTTACCTACCAGATAAGCCAGGACAAGAATCTGAGTCTATCTCTATGAGGTGAAGGAAGCATGCAGATCAGATACAAAAATAAAAAAGCTAAATAAAAACGTAAGTGCAACTAAACACGCTGTGTATACAATCTAACTACAATGGCGCCTCGATTAACGAATTTAATCCATTCAGGCACCGAGCTCGTCTTGCAAAACAATACTGTCGTCGGAGGCGTTCGAGAACCAGCGGGAACGCTAGGAAGCACCATGTGGTTTGCTCGTTAATCGAGCGAAAGCTCGTCAACTGAGACAAATTTTCTGCGAGTGGCTCGCTCGTTACTCGAAATGCTCATAACTGGAGTCGCTCGTCACTCGAGGTTCCACACTATATGCTGAACTACTGCCTGTTAGATGCTCACAGGTTACCTGGGGTCCCAGCCAGGCAGCACCGTCACTCACAAACCACCCAAACTGAAACCCTTCACCCTATGGGAAAGAAGATAACATGGTAGGGACACTAAGCTACTAAATGCCCCACCAGCAAGGGGCATATCATTACATTCACTGTTTGATCTCCCAACAGTACCTTAGCAGAGGAGGCCTACATTACTGAAAAAGAACAAATTACTAAACAAAAAAATGTGACCAGGGCTTTCCTATGAGAGAAAGAAGAGGGCCTGTGGCAGAACATCCTCAGCTGCATGCCAAATTCACAAGCACAACATATGCACACTACAGCCAAGGAGCAGCTATTAAATAACATGAGGCTAGAGCGTCAATATCCCAGAGCCTGGATGATAGCCATGGACAAACTTTATTGGGGAAGAAAGTCAGATTTTCAGACATCAAAAAGCAAGGATACGCAGTATGGGGCTAGCACAGAAATACGATCCAGACTGCACTACATGAGTGAATGACATTCCTGACTGGCATAGACTCTGGGTGAATAGGGTTGCTATCTGGTGGCAGCCAAGCACATTATGGTTGGGCTGTTTACTTCACAGCAATAAACTGTTTGCTTTTTTCTTAGATCTACTAATTTCGTTTCAAGTAGTTGCTTGTTTTGATATGCTTTATACTTTCTGGAGGATTTGATCCACAAGCCTCCCTGACCTCATAGAGCCAGTGATTCTGGTCCTGGCTTCCAGTTGACTCTGCAGGGTCTTGGAGACCTGATGTGATTCATTAAGATTTGGTAGCTCCAGTGCAATTGTTCAGGAGCTACTGAAGGGACCGTCCCAGAAAATGTTTATTTTAAAAATAAGATGTGACAGCTAATATTGAACATTATGATTGAGAAATTGCATGTACCCAGTATGCATTACTTATATATATGTTTAAATGTAAGCCTGAACATACTTATTATACTTAATCTAAGAACATATGATAGGCAGCATTATATGAAAATAGGGGGGGACTGGATTTTGAATTAAAATGGCTACAAACCATTTAAATGAAACCCATAACTTCACTCTTTTAACTTTCCCACAAACTTGCATCCGTGTGATTAAGTCAACACACAAAACAATCACCACGACATACTGCTGAGAGCTTCCACTTGTCATATAACTCCTGGACAGTGCCACCAATCACAGTGATGTTGTTTGGGGACAGTAACAAAAACCCGCCACAAACAGGAATCTTGCCTGTTAGCCGAATCTTAGTGCCTGGCGCAGTCTTGAGACTGGAAGAGAGCCATTTCATATATATTAGAATAAAGTAACATACAGTAGCATAATATCACTCCAATATGCATTTCCATCAGGCATATATATATATATATTAAAAAGAGATAAAACACTTACAAATATTCTGATTATATCTAACTAACTAAGCATGCAGTAAAACATTGATTTGTTGTTGTTTCAGATTTAGCTATTCAGAACGAAGTGTCCATGTAGCACAGGCTATGGTGAGCCCATAAAACATTCATTGTTATTTAGAACTTAAGTACCACAAGGCTCACCTAAGTGGCTTGATATTCTGCATCTCTAGAGCTTGTATGGAACTAGAGCCATCTGTCAGAGAGACTCGCAACATTCTAGGAGCAGTGCCCGAGTCCTCAAAGGCTTTGGGTGCAGACACATTGCGCATTTTTGACACTTGTAGTACAACTGGTCCAGGCAGCTGTAAAAATATGCAAACAGTTGCTGAGCATTTCATAAATAATAAATGTAGCCACTTGTAGCACTATTGGAGTATGCAGATTCAATTAAATGTCTAAATTTCTCAATTAATTGTCTAAATTTCCACCTTGCACAGAAATGGTCTAGGTTAAATTCCAATGCACTAACTCTACATAGAAATTTACCTATAGAATACTGTACTTACAAAACAGATGCAAGACTCACCGAATTCTTCTTACCCTTCAGCACGTCCTCTGGGAGACAAGGAGCCCCTATGTCTTTCAAGTCACTCTGAAATAGGAATATATTCAGTACGAAACCTATATATAGTATAATTCACAGTGGAACCTTTTTTTTCATTGCACTTTAGAGAATGGCAAATTGTATAGCACAGTTCTTAAGAGCATATGATAAAAATAGATAAAAATGATACAAAAATGAATTTCAAAGTGAGATTGCAGGAAGGAAATTTCTGGACTCACTAGGTGCTTCTGTAACCTATCTGCCTAGTTAAACATTCATTTTTGGCCATTACTATATTTACTCCACCTATAATTTTGTTTTTATTAAAACATTTAGCAGGGCCAATAATAAATACAGTACTGTATATCAATAAACTCAGTTGCAATGTTATCTACTTGGCTCCAACATTCACAGTGTATGATCTTACGAGTGAAATGGATTTACATGGATTTACATATCACATAAAAGGGGACTTGAAAGTATGTTTTGTTCATTCTCTAATAAATCAGCATACACCATCCTATATAATGGTAGCCAGGTGATACGTACATTGAGTATTTCCTGAGATGCTTGCTGGAGATTAAGGTTGTTGCCCTCTAAGATGCCCTCAACACCTTCCTCACTCAAACTCCTATATCAGAAGGAAAAAAGGCATGAATTAATTTTTCCATATTATTATCGGATACCAAACAGCAGAGGGGTAAATTAATTACATGACCTAATGTCGTAATAATGTCCTAATGTCTTTCCTAATAATCAAACTTACCACTCCCTAGAAAGTTGTATTATTTGAAGAAAAACATTTGTAACATCCACTTTTGTTCTGGCAACATTTCTTATGTTTGCTGTGAGGATATTAAACAGCCATTGACTTCTGATGTTCATACAGTATTCTCTCACTGTGCTTATGGCACCTCTATTTTCATCAGGTCAATTCTGCATAATTTCCTGCCATATTGTTTGCTTCAGATTGTTTTTTGTTGTACAAATTTGGGACTTTGAGACGGTCATAATAATTTTAGTGGTTTTGTTATGTTCATGAATGTTGCACATGTTATCTGTATTGCCTCTATTTCAAATGGAATGGGGAATCAGGAGAAAATGCCAAGCCGTTACGACTATATAGCACTTGGAAGGGGTCAGGATAAAGATAGGGGATGGGACGGGATGGTTATCTATCTTGAGGTTATCATGAAATGATTTCAGGGCTTAGAGTTCCCGTGGCCCGGTCCTCGACCAGGCCTCCTTTTTGTTACACACCCCCAGGAATGCATCCCTGGGCTATTTTACAGCTAGGTGAACAGGGGTATCAGAGTTTAAGAAACTATGCCCATTTGTTTCTGCCTCCATCGAACTCGGAACCTCAGGACTACGAATCCCGAGCGCTGTCCACTCAGCTGTCAGGCCTTTACAGGGGCCTGACAGCTGATGAGGGAAAAGGAATGATGATTTCAAAAACCTCTCCTACTTTGAAACAGGAAGTACCATGCAATACTCTAGGTGCGACAATACAAGTGATTTGAATGGCCCGAGCATTGTCGTGGCATCCCAGGATCTATAATCATAATCCATCCTATAATTTTCATGGCTGATGCTGTATCAGCCCTGAAGTACAGTATGTGGATTCTGGACGAAGGACAGTTTAGCAGGCTTTGTAATACATACTAAACATCAGCTCATCTGACATCATTATTCCCAGATCTTTTACACACTGTTTTTCTTCTATGAGTAGATCTCATTGTATCTAACAAGATAAAGTTCTTGCCTGAAATATCCTCCATAAACCCATTGTTGAACTGCTCTTCTAAACCTTAATTTGACCATTTTGTTGAATTGTCTAAACAAAAAATTAACAATGTCCTACGACCCTGGGGTTGTCCACCTCCCCCACACAGGCAGGTCCTTCACACTGACAACACCAGCAGGGCCCCGTGTTCCTTCTGGCCTGTAAGGATGGCCTTACCATCCTTCCCCCTTGAGCCTGGAGAGGAGCTCCTTGGCAGACACCATGATCAGAGGGAGGGAAGAGGCCGGGGACAGAGAGGGAGAAGTTAGCTGGCGAGGCCGACCGTCGCCACCACCACCAAGGCCTTGTAAACAACCCGACGCCAAGTCAGCCTCAACCCGCAACACTCTACATGCTAAACCTTGCCTTCCTCCTTATCTAATTTATCTAATTGTACTTACTTACTTGTCCTTGCGGGGGTTGAGCTCTGGCTCTTTGGTCCCGCCTATCAACTGTCAATTAACTAATGTACAGGTTCCTGAGCATACTGGGCTCTATCATATCTACATTTGAAGCTGTGTATGGAGTCAGCCTCCACCATATCACTTCCTAATGCATTCCATTTGTCTACTATGACACTGAACAAATTCTTTCTAACGTCTCTATGGCTCATTTGGGCACTCAATTTCCACCTGTGTCCCCTAGTGCGTGTGCCTCTTGTGGTAAATAGTCTGTCTTTATCTACCCTATCAATTCCTCTGAGAATCTTATATGTGATCATCATATCTCCCTCTAACTCCTGTCTCCCAGTGACGTGAGGTTTAATTCCCGTAATCTCTCCTACTACACACTTGATGTAAATACTTACCTGAATTTACTTAAGGGGCCACTATCTCTAGTGGCCTCGATGAGGATGGGAAGTGTGTGTATATATATATAAATACTCAATAAAGACACACAATAACGCATATAATGGGAGAAAGGATCACCCCTTACAAAATTCTCAGATATTGACAGTGTGAACAAAGACAAACTATTTTAGCATGGTGGGAACACGCACAAGGGGACACAGGTGGAAACTGAGTACCCAAATGAGCCACAGAGATATTTGAAGGACTTTTTTTCAGTGTCAGAGTAGTTAACAAATGGGATGCATTAGGCAGTGATGTGGTGGAGGCTGACTCCATGCACAGTTTCAAATGGAATGATAGAGCCCAGTAGGCTCAGGAATCTGTACATCAGTTGATTGACAGTTGAGAGGCGGGACCAAAGAGCCAAAGCTCAACCCCCGCAAGCACAACTAGGTGAGCATTAAGATGGCTCAGTTGATAGAGCAGCGGGCTGCTGCTTTGGGGTCTGCGGTCCGGTATATCAATTAACAAACTTTTTATTAAGCTATTATATTTTCACGTTGATTTATCTCTAAGATAAAACGTCTTCTGCGTTGCTCTAATGACATAACAAACTTAATTATCTTTTAAGTCGGAACTCAACCCTCGGCACCAAGTTAAGTTCTCCGTAGATGAGGCTGACATGGATGTGTGTACTTGTACATCAGAGACGTCCTCTGTGAGAGGCCGTATCCCTCCCTGTCCAAGCTCCTCAAGACCTAGACACATAATAAAGCAGAAACGCCTTATTTCCTGATAAATTGCAGGCACGAGGTCATTATTGGTTGACCAGTTTTGTATTAATATGTGATTGTCTATATTGTAAGTGATTGCTCTAATGACATAACAAACTTAATTATCTTTTAAGTCGGAACTCAACCCTCGGCACCTAGAGTTTTACCAGAGTTTCCTTACCATTCCTTACCAGAGTTTTACCTATCATTCTTTACCTGAATTTACCTGTCTATATTGTAAACTGGCCTCGGTTTGGGGCCAGTTTATTGTTTGCCAGCAGTTGGTTTCATCCAGATGGTTGGTTCCTTATCCTGAACAAGTGACCAAGTGCTATATAGTCATAGTGGCACTATGAAGTTTTGGCACTTTTCCCTGCTAATTCCCTCCCCTCACCCACAACAATGAAAATTTCTCTTCATGGCCTTAGGTCCCATTTCTTTCTTTCTAGCAGTAGCTTTGTTTTATTTTGACCAAATTTTTGTCTGGCTTTTGGTATGCTAATGTGGGTGTCAAATGCCTGACTTTTTCTTAAGACTTGGTTATGCCATTACATATCCTCTGGATTCTTCTGATAGTCCACCTGAAAAGGATGTTTCATTACATTCAAAGCTTGATTTTCATTGTTGTAATATAATGCATTGAAAATACAGTACTGTAATTGGAAATAGAACAGTGATAGTTAGGTACAGTAACTTTCATTAACTCTAAAAAAAAATATAATTAGACTACTGGCATTCGATGTTTTCAGATTCCAGAGCAATGGAGAGTCAGGTGGTTCCCCTGAAATTAGGCGTTCGGACTCAGCCACCAGCCCTGACTCTAATTTATCAGGGAGGAGCAGGAAAAGAGAGGCAGCGTGTCATGCCCATTAGATTTTTGAACAAGTTTGGCTCAGTGGATACTGTCCTGAAGGAGTTAAAGCAACGACACAAGGATCATTTAGAAAAAGTTGAGTCTTGTGTACTGTATTTTGTTATTCGGTACTGTATACCCTCTATGGATACCTTATAGATTTCACTAATTTCTGCTTTCTCCCAAAATTTTGGTGAATTTAATTTCTGGAGAGTCTTCACTTATCAGATGAAACTTTCTAGACATCCATGTGGTGGTACAAGGAAACTTCCTATTGTTATAGGGTCTTTCAACCCACTGGTGGCAGATTTTAGAACAATTTAAACCATCATGGGAGGGTTTTGGGGAGACCTTGAGTAATACTTTGAAAACAAATGCATGCTGTTGCTGCTTCAAAATTTCTATACACGTACTGTAACTGTAATGCTAGGAAATATACTGTACCTACTCCTCCACACCTTAGGGCTAGTGGCAAAGAGTCCAACAGGACACAACCACTGTATACATCACAGAGCGCTGCTCTTATATCTACGATGTTGTGGGGATTATAAAATTCTTGTTCATTTAAAAAGTACCATAATTGTAAATTGGACATCCAGATATATAGGATAAGCATTTTATGAATTAAAGCCATAATAAAGTAGGCAGTGCTTCACATATAGTCACAACCTGGCTTGTGAACTGGAAACCACAACCATTTGGCATCCCAATACCAAATTTGTTGATATACCATTGCATTATAGACTTTGTATAGCATTATTTTATGTAATTTTTTTTAACTTTTTGTAGAAAACTGCACATGTAAATCCATACAAGTGTGAATCTTAAGTACAACTACAGTACAATATAATCAAATTATCTTTGGAAAACATTAACAAATATTTTGGACACATCATGGTTACTGATAAATAATTAACTTTTTCCATTAACACATTTCCCTGTCTGGTAAACCTACATGTTTTTCTAGGTTCCAAATGTCAGATTAGAGAAAATGGTGCGCATCTTGCAAGAGGTACAGAAGGGACGGACGGTGGAAGAAGCTGTAGCCAACTTAACTAAAGAATACAGTGTGGACCCTAACCAAGACCTTAACAAACTAGATGATGAGCAGCTTGCAAAGAAAAAAAAGGTGTGATTTTTTGTGTTGTAAATTTGATTTATGTAGGTAATAGATGCTCAGCATGTCTTTTTTTGCTGATGTGTGCAAGTATGTGCCTTTTCAATTTATTTTACTATGCAAGATAATGCAATTACCTAAGGGTAGTTACAGGATGAGACTACGCTCATGGTGTCTCGTCTTCCCGGCACTCTGTTACATAACGCTTTTAAAATTACTGACAATTTTAGCCTCCACCACCTTCTGACTTGACTTGTTCCATCTGTCTACCACTATGTTTGTGAAAGTGAATTTTCTCATACAGTATTTCTTCAGCAGCTTTGTTTAGTTATTTTAAATCTATGACCTCTTGTTCTTGAAGTTCCAGGTCTCAGGAATTCTTCCCTATCAATTTTATTGATTCTCGTTACTATTGTATTTTGTACGTAGTGATCATATCGCCTCTTTTTCTTCTGTCTTCTAGTTTAGGGATATTTAATGCCTTTAACTTCTCCTCATAGCTCTTGTCTGTGAGATACAGTAGGCTCTGTATACAAAATCAGATGGAATATTAACATTAAAATTTTTGTACAAAACAAAGTTTGTATTTGCATAAATACAATATGGTATAGGTGTTGTAATAATAAACAGTAAATGTATAAACAGCCACTAATCATAAATGTTTCAGATAAAACTAGAATTTAAATTTGGAATCCAGACTAATCAGCAACTATAATTATTACATAATTTTATTTTAAATGTTAAGTGGTTAATAATGTTCATGGCATGTATTTAATATAATGGTAACATTGCAGGTAATGAATAGCAGCTTTGAGAAGAATCAGCTTAAGCCAGGGGACCCTGGCTACGAGTATGACAGGCAAGTAGAGTTTGACACCAGTGATAAAGTGGAGGCTGGGTGGGACTCTCCTGACGAGGATTTTTGGTCTTAACCATTCCCTTTTTTTTTTATAGAGTCCTGGATTAAATGTTATTTATATTTATCATATATATTCAATTACTATATTGTAAAAGTACAATAAATACTACCTTTATTTCTTGTGAGATAGAACATTTGGGTGGGACTGGAGTATAGTATAATTGCTGTAACTGTTTAAATGGTGTAGGTGTGACGTGAAAAGCCGATGACATAGACTGCTAGTGTCAGACTTAACAACTGGCTAAGTTCTCGCACACATACACAGACATGTAGCTGCACTACAATTAGTTACCAACACTAAAAAAAAAAGATAAAGCTTGGTATGATAAACCATCCTGCAAGATGGGGAGATTATGTAAACATACAGTACTGCTAGTTTTTTACTTAAAACTCTTAAATACTTTGCATAGATTTACCTGAATTTACTCAAGGACCGGCCTTGATGAGGGCAGGAAGCCAGCAGCTATTTATTGCCAAAAGTCTCCCCATTTACCCCTGATAATTTTATCCATCTGGATTTTGAATTGCAGTAATGTTTTGGCATTTACAGCTTCAGCTTGTAGATTATGAAAAACCACCCTGTTCTCTTACATTGTGGCTTGTTCAGCTTGAAACCATTACTTCTTATTTATATTCCATCTGACCTTTTAAAGAAGTAGTCTGGATCAATATCCTCCAAATTGCTCAGTATTTTAAACGTTTAAATAAAATCAACCCTTTCATGTCTGGTTTGGTATAAATTATAAATCTCTTATATTTTGAGTTCAGCTGCAATTTCAGTAATCCATTTTGAACAATGTTGACCTTCAATAAATGTCTGCAGGGCTTTTGTGCAAGGATTACGATGAGCTAGCCTAAGTATTTTTATACCAATTAGAAAATTAACTTCAGTAACACGATGAATGATACTCGGAATATTAAGTTCCTTTCTCATATTAAATATCTTTGTGGCACGAGGACTCCCAACGATAATCCTCAGAGCTTTGATCTGTATTGTTTAACCCCTCTAAGCTTCTTTTCAGGCGCTAAAGTAAGCAGAGATACAGCATAATCAACTAAAAATATGATGTATACAGCATAATCAACTAAAAATATGATGTATGCAAGGTATATCATTTTAACACTTACGGTACCATAACCTGAGTGATTCCCTGTCACAGCTTCGAAGCCCAAGCTTCCTCCCCTTATACTGATGACAGTCTGACTACAACAGGACCATACTGTTAGTTTAGTCATTTAGTATGCACCCCATACCAGTCCTGTGGGTGGAAAAAGTTACAGAGGCACATAATGAGTTCAGGAACTGAATCCCATAGTTCATTTAGCTAAGCAAGTAACAAGCTTGTGAAGCTAGTTAAAAAAATTGAATACTTAGGATACTTAAGTGTTATGTTTAAATAACTGATCACGCACTAGGAACATGCTAGTAGATAATATAATAATCCTGGAATCTTCCACTGACCAAAGAAGATTGCAAATCCTGGAATCTTTACTCATTAAAAAGAAAAGACGTGCCTTAAATATACAGTATAACAATATCGCTTCCTTGCCAACACTCAGAACCAGATCTCACCAAACATCACCAGACAATGATGTCTCTACTGAGGTCTCCCAGCCCACCAAGAGTACCAAAGTTTTATCCAATGTTTGACTGGCCCTATCCCTTTACCCTATGGTTGATTGACCCTGTTCCTTTACCCTATGGTTTAATTGCCCCAATACCTCGCCTTATACTCCTTTTGACTCGTTCACATGTATCTTATGTACTTATTCTTTACCTGATGCTCCGGAGAGGAACAAAATGTTGTAGAAAATAAAACCTTCAATAATTGCCAGCATTTCTTTACCATGAACTTTGGTAACTTGATTGCAATTCTTAATACTTTACTTGTACTAAGAAAATAGAAGCATAGAAAGCTTACACTACAGTATAAGATCAACAACGTCAACAACGCGGTCATATTTAACCAAATATATTTAAAGGAACGTCTGCATCCCAATTGTGTATATTATATTCAGTCTCCGTGGTGTAGTGGTAAGACACTCGCCTGGCGTTCCGCGAGCGCTATGTCATGGGTTTGTATCCTGGCCGGGGAGGATTTACTAGGCGCAATTCCTTAACTGTAGCCTCTGTTTAACGCAACAGTAAAATGTGTACTTGGATGAAAAAACGATTCTTCGCGGCAGGGGATCGTATTCCAGGGATCTGCCCGAAACACTACACGTACTAGTGGCTGTACAAGAATGTAACAACTCTTGTATATATCTCAAAAAAAAAAAAATATATATATATTTATATATAGTGTAGTGTGAACTATATATATATATATATATATATATATATATATATATATATATATATATATATATATATATATATATATATATATATATATATATATATATATATATATATATATATATATATGTCGTACCTAGTAGCCAGAACGCACTTCTCAGCCTAATATGCAAGGCCCGATTTGCCTAATAAGAAAAGTTTTCATGAATTAATTGTTTTTCGACTACCTAACAACCTAACCTAACCTAACCTAACCTAACTTTTTTGGCTACCTAACCTAACCTAGCCTATAGAGATAGGTTAGGTTAGGTTAGGTAGGGTTGGTTAGGTTCGGTCATATATCTACGTTAATTTTAACTCCAATAAAAAAAAAATGACCTCATTCATAATGAAATGGGTAGCTTTATCATTTCATGAGAAAAAAATTAGAGAAAATATATTAATTCAGGAAAACTTGGCTTATTAGGCAAATCGGGCCTTGCATAGTAGGCTGAGAAGTGCGTTCTGGCTACTAGGTACGACATATATATATATATATATATATATATATATATATATATATATATATATATATATATATATATATATATATATATATATATATATATATATATATATATATATATTTTGGGAGCAGGTTTTTCCTAATACACACAATTCAATTTCTTTCTTTATTATGCACCCCATACCCATCCCGTGGGCGGTGGTGTAAAGGGTTACAGAGGCACATAATTGATTCAGGAACTGAACCCCCTAGTTCGTTTTGCTAAGCAAATAACAAGCTTTTGACGCTAGTTACACAATTATTAATGTTATATTATATATTATTAAATATGACCGAAAAAGTAAGATTAATAATTCTAACACGAATTTTCTCAATCTTTCGTACATTTCTTTTCACTGTTGGTGGTAATTCAAAAATCAATTCTCCAAAATTCATTTTTATTTCTAGTCTGACGCGACACTTGAGCGCGTTTCGTAAAACTTATTACATTTTCAAAGACTTTAGTTAACACATGCACAACTGAATAGAACTTACACATCTCCGATTTGTTTATATCTACATTTGAGTGAGGTGGATGGGGTGAGGTGGTATTAATAGGGTATTAATTTCATCAACACAAGACAGAACACAAAACAATGGGTATTGAATAGAAGTGATTGTAGAAAGCCTATTGGTCCATATTTCTTGATGCTTCTATATTGGAGCGGAGTCTTGAGGTGGGTAGAATATAGTTGTGCATTAGTTGGCTGTTGATTGCTGGTGTTGACTTTTTAATGTGTAGTGCCTCGCAAACGTCAAGCCGTCTGCTATCACTGTATCTATCGATGATTTCTGTGTTATTTACAAGGATTTCTCTGGCGATGGTTTGGTTGTGGGAAGAGATTATATGTTCCTTTATGGAGCCCTGTTGCTTATGCATCGTTAAACGCCTAGAAAGAGATGTTTAGGCACATTCCTATGTGCCTAAATGCCAACAGCGACTGCCCAGACAGGTACAAGAGGAGTGTTGTTAACGCATATGTCGACCGTGCTCTCAGCCACAGCTCAGAATGGAAGCAAGTCGACGAAGAACTCTGTAGGGTAAGGCAGGTCCTAGTCAACAACGGCTTCTCCAATGGTTTCATCGAAGACATCATAAGAAGGAAAGTGAAACGCCATGCAACCTCTGAAGAGACAACTAACACAACACCTATACCCCCTATTAGACTATTTTACAGGAACTTCTTTTCCACAGCTCATAAAACGGAGGAAAGGGTCCTGAAAGATATTGTTAATAGAAACGTAATCCCTGCAGACAAAAATCAGAGGATACAACTGACGATTTACTATAAAACCAGAAAAACGGCCAGCCTACTCATGAGAAACTCTCCAGACACAAAGCAGAACGCTTTAAAAAAAGAGACCAACGTCGTCTATGCCTTCAAATGCCCTCTTGGGGATTGTAAGCTCCAAAAAACCCAGTATATAGGCAAGACAACAACATCTCTTTCTAGGCGTTTAACGATGCATAAGCAACAGGGCTCCATTAAGGAACATATAATCTCTTCCCACAACCAAACCATCGCCAGAGAAATCCTTGTAAACAACACAGAAATCATCGATAGATACAGCGATAGCAGACGGCTTGACGTTTGCGAGGCACTACACATTAAAAAGTCAACACCAGCAATCAACAGCCAACTAATGCACAACTATATTCTACCCACCTCTAGACTCCGCTCCAATATAGAAGCATTAAGAAATATGGACCAATAGGCTTTCTACAATCACTTCCATTCAATACCCATTGTTTCGTGTTCTGTCTTGTGTTGATGAAATTAATACCCTATTAATACCACATCACCCTATCCACCTCACTCAAATGTAGATATAAACAAATCGGAGATGTGTAAGTTCTATTCAGTCGTGTATGTGTTAACTAAAGTCTTTGAAAATGTAATAAGTTTTACGAAACGCGCTCAAGTGTCGCGTCAGACTAGAAATAAAAATTAATTTTGGAGAATTGATTTTTGAATTACCACCAACAGTGAAAAGAAATGTACGAAAGATTGAGAAAATTCGTGTTAGAATTATTAATCTTACTTTTTCGGTCATATTTAATAATATGTCTACAGGAAAGACTGCTACCAAAATATACTAATATATATATATGTACATATACATGTACATATATATGCATACACATACATATACAATCACCCACACAAATACACACATCAATAATCTTTTGTATCAAGTGATTCAACAAGAGGCTCACAATATGGTGAGTCACACAGTTACTAGTCTTGCTTCACACCCACCCAACTGGGCGGCAGCTTTACAGTCATGTGCATGCATTACCTACAGTAAGCAAATTTTGGATACTTCGCTATAATTTCAGGAAGTACATCATTATGAATGAAGTACTTACACATTTCTTGGACCCCCATTGATGGTGTTATCTTTGCGTCATTAAAAACAACAGCGTTGTGACTATTATTAGTTTTCATTTTACATTTTATCAACTGCACCTTTAGCTCAAGCTAAACTAAATTTCTTTCATCCCCAAACCTGTTTCCAACACTAGTACCAGTGTGCTCTGCCTTCCCTTCATATCTGAACTCAAAACTCATACTAATACCCTTCGCCCTCTTGACATAGAGCTGCCTTTCGACAAACTAACACTTCATAGCAATCTAGTTCACACTACTTCTAATGCTGCTGGTGTCTAATGCTTCTAATGCTGCTGGTGTCTAATGCTGCTGGTATCTAATGCTTCTAATGCTGCTGGTGTCTACTCTATTTCCTGTTCGTCTTGTCCTCTCCAATACTTTGGGTTCCTGTAATGGTCCAGGACGGACCGAAACGTCGTCGTCTCCTCATCTTCTGGTGTGTGGATAAGTTATCATATCTTCAGCTACGTTCTTGTAACTCATCGTCTGCATGTGGGAGATAATGTGGTGTTGATATTCCCAGATGAGAAGTGCTGAGTGCTTGGCGTGCAGCGGGTTGGCAGCAGGAAATTTCCGTTTGCCATCACTGTGCGCTTGGTAATTGGCAGATGCCTGTGTCCCCAGCTGGAGTGAAATCATCACCAGTCTGCTGTCTGGTAGTGTTGATGATATGATAGTTGTGATGCGCATTGTTACCCCCCTTCTTTTTTTTTTTTGAGATATATACAAGAGTTGTTACATTCTTGTACAGCCACTAGTACGCGTAGCGTTTCGGGCAGGTCCCTGGAATACGATCCCCTGCCGCGAAGAATCGTTAAATCCTTCGTGCAACGTCTTAAGTTTTTTCAATATTGAAAAGCATTTGTCAGTCTTCTGATCATTTGTTGAGTTCATATAAACAGAATCGTCCTTAGGAGCACAGCAACTGTTCCCCTGCCCCATGCCCCCCCCCTCCGAAAATACAATCACTTGGGCTGGACGGTCAACGGTAGAGCAACGGTCTTGCTGCATGCAGGTCGGCGTTCAATCCCCGACCGTCTTAAGTGGTTGGGCACCATTCATTTCCCCCGTCCCATCCCAAATCCTTACCCTGACCCCTTCTAAGTGCTATATAGTCGTAATGGCTTGGTGCTTTCCCCTTGATAGTTGCCTTCCCGTGTTCCCAAAAATGTGAGCAAGTTAGTGAATATTTATTTTAAGAAAAACATATTGTGTTGGATTTATTTATTGGCAACTGTGAGACGGTGAATGGTTCCCTCCCTTAGGTTTCTCTCCATGAGCTGGCAGATATGAGGTTAGGCTAATTCGGGGAAGGGCAGGACGCTAGGGAGAGTTGGCGGGAAGGGAGGGAGGGGGAAGCAGGGAGAATAAGTAGCAGGTTGGTTAGAGTTTTGTGAGGCGAGGGAGCCTCCATTGATAGCTGCTCGTGACACCCCATGCACTGGTAGGGTCGGGCTATTGCAAGTACCTTGGGCTGCGCGGGGCCTCTCTCTAGCTGCTTGGACCCCCTTTCACCTGTTCGGGGCCCTCTTGAGTTGTTGGGGAGAGGCTGCCCTAGAGAGGCTTGGGGCCCCATGAGCTGGTCGCCGCACTTC